CCATACACCTTTGGTTTACATGTTTGCCGGCATGTAACCTTTTCCTCCGGAACCCAGAAATTCCGGTGGCCTGGTTGGTTCCATTCGGCTCCTTCTTAAAGGCCGGCTCTTTACCTGGTTTCACAAGTATTAGCTCTGTTTCATAGATCTAGTCTTTACAGTAGCATTGTCAAAAGTTCGGGTTACCTCTCTACTCGGGTCTTCTAAGTGGGCTTCCATCCTCCTACCTGGTTCCCATGATTTACATGACCTAAGAACTTATCTTGGGATTTTTTGGATTTTATTTATTTTGTTAAAATGAGTTAATTATAATTAATTATCAAATGATTATAAAAACACAAACTTATTATTTTTTAATAATATAGTTAGTAGTTGTAACTATTTATTATAAAAGACAAAAATTTAAGTCAAAAACATAATTATAAATTAATTATTATTCAAAAATTCTTTATAAAATATTTTAAAATTAATATCAAAATTTAAAAAATCTTTGACTATATATAGTAAAATTAATGATATTTATATATAATATTTTTAGTAAATATTATTCTTCAAATAGCAAGTCTAGTATTCAAATCTCACAATGATAAAATTTAAAAATTATATTTATATTGCAGTAACTGTCTTTTATTGATCAGTTAAATTTATATATCTGTAATTTTAAATATATTAAATTTATAACTTGAAAGCTTATAAATTAAAATATTATATGTATATGTTGTGCCTCAAACTAACACTTGTCTCAGATTACAGCTGATGCACCTCAAATGATAATTGTTAGGTAAGGTGCGTAAACTGTAGATCTGTCACCTGAGGTGCCTCAATCGTAATCTAATACAGAAATGTTAGTTTAAAATGAGTTTCAACGAAAGTAAAATGTAAATGAGGTCAAAGCATAATTAATGTAAATAAAAAGTCCTTTGGTTCTGAGCTGTTTAACTATTTCATGTTGGCACTCACTCTCTTTGCCATCTTTACATTCAATATTTTTTTTTCATTTCAACACTTTCCTCATTGTCTTCACATTTCCCAGTATTTTTTTTTTCTTTGATATGGAATGTACCTTCATTAACAGAAGCACATTTGATCAAATTATAGAAAACTATATAACGAATCTTCCCAAATCTAAACAAGAAAAAGCACTAATAAGCTTTAAACTTCTAAATAAAATAAAAACTATCTTAACAAATCCAAATAACAATACTCTATATGATAAAGGCATCTGTGATTGAGCCAAGAGAAGGTTCAGAGTTGAGGAAATTGGATCTAGTGATTATAGGGTTGTGGTTAAAGCTTCTAATAACCCTGTGCTATATGTTGAGAAATTTTATAATGTTTTGTATCATATTCATGCCGAGGTTACCCAGCATTGTGTACAAAAACAAATGTGAAAAACTGTTCAAGAAAAATGGGATTGGATCAAGCAGAACTTGATCGAACAATTTGTTAATAATTGCACAATATGCGCTATTAAAAAACCTTCATTTCAGCCCCTTGCAGCTAAACTAATAATAGCAAATAATTTTTTATCCAGAGTTCAAGTAAATTTATTTTATTTAATTTAATTTATTTTTTATTTTTTTAATTATAACATTATAATGAAATTTTTTTTTATTTACAGATGGATTTAATAGACCTCTCATTCGATTTGGATAGAGAATTCAAATATGTATACCATGTAAGAGACCACTTTATCAGGTTTTCCTGGGCGAGAGCACTTATATTAAAAAGAGTGATTGAAGTTGCATCTTATCTTTTTAACCTTTTTCATTTGATTGGGTCATCACCAACAATACTACAGTCAGATAACAGCAAGAAGTTTGTCTCGCAAGTTATTAGAGAACTTATCAGCCTATAGCTCTCTGTGAAAATCATCAATGGTTGTTCCAGACACCTCTAGTCACAGGAGCTTGTTGAAAGAGCAAATGGAATCTTGGAACAAAAATTGGGAAAGTGGAAAGAAACTACTGATCGAAGTGACTGGGCATTTGGTCTAAGGTTTGTCATCATAGCAATGAACAATTCATGGTGCTGAGCATATAAGAATATATCATATGAACTGGTCTATGGGATAAACCCCATGGTAACTGTACTTTGGTCAATAACCTGTATGCTAATGATGTTTGTGATAAAGAGAATGTTCCAGATACAATCAAAATTCAAACCAACAGCATCATGAATTTAGATGATGGTATGGGTGGTAAGTTTTTATTTTATTTTTTTATTATTTATTTGTTTAGTACATATATTTTATATATTTATTTTATTAGATCAAGGTTTAGAATCTTTGCATCCAGTACCAAAACTCTCGCATTCAGAACCAGAACTCTCGCATTCAGAACAAAAACCCTTGTATCCAGAACCAGAACCCTTGCATCCAGAGTCAGAATCTTCATATTCGGAACCAGGACCTTTAAGTCCAGAATTCTTGCATTTAGAACCTTCGTATCCAGAATCTTTGCCTCTAAAGCCATCGCATCAAGAATCAAATAATTATGATAGTTTTTTATTTATTTTATTTTAAAGATTCATTAATAAATTATTTAAAGATTCTACTTACTAACTTTATTGATCAGAGTTAAGATTCGACTTCAGTTCTTGTGAATTCTACGAACCACTATTCTAATATGCAGCATGAAATTTTACAAGAATCAGCCTAAAGAGAACTTCAATTATATATAGAAGGGATGACTAAACAAATGTTAAAAAAAAAGAAAATTGACAGAATTCAATATTGGTAATTTTGTTTGTATAGGTATTCCAAAGATTGATCAGTTTGCTATTGATCATCCTAACCTTCTTTGCAAAGTTATAGAAAAAACTGAAAATCAACAATATCAACTGAGATGCAAGTATGGCATAATTAATATGTGCTATTTGTCAGGTGAAATTAAAGCACTAGGGACCTCCATCTACTCTGAACTCGATATTATACTATCGGATCAAATATCTGTTCAAGAAGCATCAAGGCTGCAAAGTGTTGGACTAGTATCTAATTCTATCTATAATTGTAAGGGTTAGTGTAATAGCAAACGATGTAATTGTAAAAAGGTAAATGGGAAATGTTCAAGCAGGTGTCGTAGTGGAAGGTCATATTTAAATAAAGATTAATTGAATGTATAGAACAATAGTTTAATAGTTCAAGTTTGTAATTAAAGTGAAATAAGTAATGTAGTCAATTATTGTATTTGAAATTTTTTTTAAAAAAATATTACTACATTCATTATACATGTGATCTTATATCGAATATCGATAAAATTAATTGCATTAGATTACGATTGAGGCATCTCAGGTGACAGATCTACAGGTTATACACCTTACCTAACAATTATCATTTGAGGTGCATCAGCTGTAATCTGAGGCAAGCGTTAGTCTGAGGCACAACATATATAAAGAAATGTTTACAAGTATTATATAAGACTTTAGTACAAATCAATAATAAGATAACTAAGTTTCAAAAACTAAAAAACTAGTAAAACAAAATTCTACATAGAAATTTTTAAGTAAAAAGATAAAATGAACTTTTGAAAGTACTATTAAGCCAATTAAAGCCTATGAACTATTTCAAAGAGAAAAACAAATATATCAAATAATAAATATATAAAGAAATATATAACCAATCAGCCTACTAAATTTAATAAAGAAAAAAAAATATAGAAGTATAATATACTAAATCATCTAGATTTATAATTTGAAGAGTTTGTTAGTTTTAAGTAACATTTAGTAAAAGATATTAAAAAAGATATCAAAAAGATAGATAACAGGGTTTTAGTAAACTTTATAAAAGTAAAAATAGTATAATAATAGTAGTTTAACAGAATATCTATAATTGCAAGTATCAATCAAGTTATAGTATATTATATAAAAATAGATTAGAAATATAAAAGATTTTATTAAGTTTTTTGTTAAGAATAAAATAGTTTTAAGGATGCTAATAAGAATTAGAAATTTCGAATAAGGTTGACTAGTTACAATATTCTTTTTCAAAAACTAACAGGTTATTTGGTTTTACAAGATTTAACTCTATTTTTTAGGTTTAATTTTTACAATAACACTGTTAAAAGTTTGGACTACCTTTTTACTCAGGTCTTCTAAGTAGACATTTTTCTGATTTTTGTAATTTATTCAATTACAAATATTTATTACAAGTTCATACTGCCTGGTACTAGTTCATGTAACAGTATATTATACAAATGCCATGTGACTTTTCTAATTATGCTAGTATAATATAAGTAACAGGTATTTTATCTCAACTAATAGTAGAAGACAGTTATTTATAACACAGAACGAATTTCAAATATTCATTGACACTGATATTTAAATGCTAGACCTGCCACTTGAAAGTTAACAACATAACTACTTCACTATATTGCCATGCTCTCTAATTATTAATTTTATAAACTTGTTATATAAATATATTTTATATAAAAAATTACTATATTTTTTATATTTGTAAGTATTTATTTATAAATTATTTGATAAATTTTTTTTTAATTTTTTAAAAAAATTATATTATATATTAATTAATACAAAAAACTTTTTACTTAATAGATAAAATATAGTTTACATAATAAAAATAAAGTTATAAATTAAAAACTAAATAATTTAAATATTTTTTATAAATTTGTAAATTAATAAAAAAAAATATTTAATTA